CCTTCATAGACGCTCACTGACAGCACTTTACTCAACACTCTGTTAGAGGCTATACGGGGGAAGGGGACACGGCGGGGGGGGGGGGTCTTTGTGGTTTGTATAGGACGTGTGTCACTGTGTGTGTGTGACTGCGTGGGAAGTATGTGTGAGTGTGTGGAATAGAGGTGCGTGGTTCGTGTGAGTCGTGTGCGTGTTGTGACGCATATGCGTGGGTGGCGTCCTGGTGCGCGTGTGCTTCGGTTTGCTCATACATGTGTAGTGGGTTCCAGGACACGGAGACGGCAGAATAGAAGCAGCACTATTTATTTAAACCTTAACAAGGGTTACACTAGAAGGGGTAGCGGCCCCTCCACCCGTATAACTCAGGAACACACCCCAGGCTCTCTGGCCTAAGCTCTAGGCTCCCAGTTCCTCCTGGTAGGGCTCTAAGGGAGGCTATCAGATCCGGCCCTGGTTAGGCACAGATCTCGGCACCCCGCCGACCAGACCGGCCCTTAGAAGGACTCTGACTCTGGGGCTCTGGGGCCGCACCACTGGCTTGCTGTGCCGGCCCTGAAAAGGGCAGCGGTCACAGGAGTTCCAGGGTCTCACCTAGCTGGCCTTCTTTCTTCACTGGTTGCTTCAGCCTCGGGCCCCACACTCTGCCCCGAGCTCCCTGGCTCCCCGCACTTTATACCCACTGGAGCCTTAGCGGACGTTGTTGTAGCCACCAAGGTGTGGGTGAACCACACCTTCCCGTGTCATGTGTTTATTCCCCATAGCACCCCTACACATGCATCACAATATCTCAACTATCCACCGCTGAACAAAAGCCACCCATATTATCGCCATCCCTTATGGTCCCGCTCATGTATTACCTGCACATTTAAAATATATTATTACAACTAAAGTATTGACTTTATTTCAGTTTTACAAAAGCATGAACGTAAATAGTTAACGCGTTAACCTATCTCAGGTTTGCTGATGACATTTACCCATTGTAACAACCAATGTTAATGAGCTACAGGAATTGACTGATTAAATAAAGATGAATCAAAATGTATGTACCGCAACCATCGTGGGACCTCATTTTGTCAGTACCAAATATGAGAAGAGGTTTTCCCCTTTTTTCTGTCAACAAAACAGCTGTGTTAAGATGTTAAAACACCAAACTGGGAATCATGTCTGCATTAACCACAATACTTGTGGTCAGAATGCAAACAAAAAACAAACTCTGATAGTATATGCATTGTCTTTGAAACTGATTGGTCCACACCAGAGACAGCTTTTTTTTGAGCCGAGTCTCAAAACGGTGTTAGACCAGAGGACGCCTTTTATCCATTAGATGACTATATAGTACAGTGTTCGGTATTTTAAATATCATAATATACCCACATGCGTAAGGGGACGTCCATAAATGACGTCACGCACCTGGGGGGGGGGGGTCAGACATTTGTGACGATGTGTGACGAAGGGGGGGGGGGGGGTTGAGAAATGTGACGTCACATCAAAATGCGCAATTTTAAATAAATATAAACAACACGTTCTACTTAATTAAATAGATTTTTTAAATAAATGTTTTCTCCTACAACATCAGAGTGCAGCGCAACATTAAATACGCTATTTGAAGCATTTGGGGGGGGGGGGGGGGCAGAGCTTTGTGACGTCATATTTGAGGGGGGGTCTGACATTTTGTGACGTCGTGTGACGAAGGGGGGGGGGTCAAAAATCATCCAAAATATCGTGACGTCATTTATGGACGGCCCCTAATGCACAGTATTCATTGGATTCAGAAGCGCGGAAAACCACAGGGGAGTGGGAAGGCAGCTAGAACCGGCGCCAAGCAATTACCCAAGCTCTGTGGGCCTATATTTGGATGTTTGGCCAACTCCATGAATTAGTTCTTATATATGTGGGAGGATGCGTTGAGTAAAAACCCCACGCATGCGAATGGGCAGCAACAACTCTCAATCCTCGTACAGATGGAAAATAATCCACTTGCTATACTGCCAATTCATGACCAAGCCAGGAGGTGGTGTTTCACGTTTTCACTTCTAATTGTAAATAATTAACAAGTGGCCGTTGCCAAAGATCAACTGGTACTGCTTATCATGGCAACCGGCTACTGGTTCACAAATGTTTGGGTTTTTTACACGCTTTCATTTAACTCACTCTGTTGTTGTTGTCGTCGTCTTTGTATCCTCAAATCTTGTAACTCAATTTCAGCCCACTTCCCAATGTGGTATCGACTGCAAACTTGGTATACTTATGTCATACTGATGACAATACTATATTCTATCATAAAAAATAAAAACATTTCTAAACATTTTTTTATATGTTATGTTTCGGCTTGGGTCTCATTGTCCAACCTCAACTGACGTTGGCTGTAATTGGCCACGGTCCCCTAACGTTGTGGCAAGCTTCGGGGCCACTCCCTGGAGTCGTGGAGTTCTTCCATTACTAGTACATTTCATAAAAGCGTGTTTAAAAAAAGTTTTTTTTTTTAAATATTACTTATTTCGTCTTAGCCAGGCCACCAATACCTGAAGATTTGTTTACTCAATTATGTTTCAGCTTTGAAGATTAAATGTGTGGAATACTGTGTACGGGGACAATGGTTACATTGGGCATTGATAACAGGGGGGGCTCTCGGTTATAATAAAAATTATATATACAGCTCAATATTATTAATGGTGACTTTTCATGGTGGTCCAGATGTGTTGTAACCCCCATTACATTCTCTATAAACGTAATATTTTTTGAAAGGTTTATTCAAAACATAAAATAATACGCAGTAAACTCAACAAATGTGTCAGTACCACTGCCTCAAAAAGGGAGGGGTGTGTACACATACAATAGGCAACGTTTCGGGCAATGGCCCTTCTTAAGCATCTGCAGTCGTGCTTGCGAATCGAATTCGTGATGTTAGTCGACTCGATTAACCTCGGCGAACGCAAATCGCGACTCGATTCTCGATTGCTATAAATGTAAAATGGATTGCGGAATCGAGTCGCCGCGTATCGCACGAGAGGATCGATCCTCGCCGTCGTCATGGCGCAGTGCGCCCTGCTGCTGATCTTCCTCCTCTTCCTCCGCGTCTCTGCAGCCCCGGACGAACCCCGTACGCGCTTCTCGTTGTCACTCTTATCTCGCTCTCTCTCTCTCGCTCTCTCCACTCTTGTTGCTGGTGTTTGTTCATGCGTCGAGTTACAACTTTACAGTCGGCGCCGAGAGCCGGGGGCATCAATGGCCGTGAGATGCTGGCGTTGAACGTTCGCGCCTTTTACAACCGCGAGGGAGAAGTCGTCGTCGTCCCCTCTTTACGTTGTCCCCCTCTTTACCTTGCCCCCTCTTTACGTTGCCCCCTCTTTACGTTGTCCCCTCTTTACGTTGTCCCCACTTTACGTTGCCCCCCTCTTTACGTTGTCCCCTCTTTACGTTGCCCCCTATTTACGTAGCCCCCTATTTACGTTGCCCCCTATTTACGTTGGCCCCTCTTTACGTTGTCCCCTCTGTACGTTGGCCCCTCTTTACGTTGCCCCCCTCTTTACGTTGTCCTTTAACGGCGTGAGCCAACAGCGATCGCCCGCCCGAGTGTACACCAACCACGGGCATCTCCGCCGCTAAGCAAGTGGAGGAGAAGGTGCCCCGTCATGTGCTGCGTTAGCGAATGTTTGCGCGCACACACACACACGTGTGTGTGTGCCCCGTGTCGTTCGCACACGGTGGTGCGGGTAGTGTTCACGTTTGTTTTTCATTTATTTTGGTATAGCCCTGTGAGCCATTCGGCTCTTGAATCGGGTGCCCCCCCCAAGGCCGGTGCGCGATCGGGCGAGTTGTGTAAAGTTTGTGAGTCAAAAGTGACTCACAAGCAGGACGTCGGCAAAGCAGTTATAGGCCTCGTATGCTTGTTACTCCACCCACGTATCGTTTTGCTTTCAACGTAATTGTGCAGCGTTTTGTTTCGAAATATCGATGCTGTTATCGATTGTGAAGGTGGACGAATGTCGGCTTGTGTCTTCCTCTCGCGTCTCGATGCTCGCCATGGCCTGCCAAAGATGACATTGTTCAGTTCACCTGAACTTTCTTAACGCTTTCCCTGAGCACGTTGGCTTCCCCAAGATATTGATAGTCGTGGTTTTTGTCAGTGGCATATATAATGCACAACTACGGCAGACAATGTTCGTGTGTATTTTGATTAAGCGGGTGTAGAACTCAAAATATCCCTGGATCATCTTATTTGCAAGAGTAACCATGGTCACCAAAATGAAAAAAAGCTAAACAAATCTAAGTAGAACAATGAAGCAAATACAACGCAAACATCACTTAAACATTACATTGCCAGTCGTGTAGATTGTCTCGGACCGATTTTTTTAGATGTGTAAGAGTATAATTACAATAAGTTAAAGACAAACCGATATAGGGGGGGGGGGGGGCTCTTGTATTAAAATATAAATAGACGAGGATATACGTGAACTATATTTACACATGCTTCTCCCCTCTTTTGGTCTTGATATATTGCACTTCCAATGATGTCTCGATGAATATTTTGTACCCAAGAGATGGCAACAGTAGTCATTGTCTAAGCTCTGCTAACTATATTTCTATAGAGCATCGCATTTAAATTATTTCCTACTGATTACCTTATTTATCATATCACCAAATCAACCAGCATGCGCCGGATATCGTCAGATCTGCAGAGGAACCTGTACGGCAACATTCATTATCACTGTCCCATGCTCCCCGTCTTCACGAGCCCGCACGCACCAGCGTGGGAGTATCGTCAAATAACCCCCCCATGACCCACGGCGAGAGGAAGCTCTGATGCAGCAGTGGATTGACAAAAAAGGACTTGTACTCTCTGGTTCTTTCGGTAAAGTCACGTACCGAAAGAACCAGAGAGTATGGATTCCTGCAGTCACGAAAGCTTCAAATAAAAAAAAGGACTTGTGTACATCAATACAATTTTGATTTAAAGCTTCCGTGACTGCAGTAATTCATATTCTTAGCTCTATATATTAAAATATATTATTTTATTGTTTCCCTTCAACGTGACTTTACCGAAAGAGCTAAGTATATACATCAATACAAGTTTGTCATTCATACATCTCTGGTACGTAAAATATTTTGTACCTACGTGACTTTACCGAAAGAACCAGAGTATGGATCCCTGCAGTCATGAAAACTTCAAATCTATATTGATGTTCCTAATTTTATCCGATATGTATCCATAAAAGTGTATTCTAAATACTGTACAATCTTAGGTTTTCACAGGCAAAATTCAAGCTTAACTCTGAAGAGTAAACTGAGGATACTACTAACGTCGTGATTTGTTTTATTTTATTTCTACCTACGTGACTTTATACCGAAAGAACCACAGAGTGAGGAAACTACTGACATGTTGTGTTTTAGCTGCAGACAACAAGCTGCCATTGACTAATGTGCATTTGGTCCTTATCCAGGAGTGACCTAAGACACTTGACCCACAACTAATGCTAGCGATCAGCCTAAAAACTATACAGCCATAGAGTTGTAGAGTACAATAGCATATGTAAGATTGTATGCCTACCTTGCGTAATAAAATCTCTATACAGAGTGGTTAAAGTCATGCTTGTAATTTTTCTCACAGAAAATATATTTTTTTATCCAGAATTCATGACGGCAATGGTACCTGTTTCTCAACGTATTCTCCATCCACAGCACATTTTCCACCCATGTAAAAGTGCCTGCATGCCCAAAGCAACATAGAAAGAAGTGTTTCTTTGCTTAAAACCTATCAGGACACGTCTTCAGTTTGAGATATGATTGGAATCGTTGCCCACTCAAGTGCTCAGATTCTCAAAGATGGAAATCGCAGGGAGCCAAACATTCCCGGAACGCATTATCACCTGTGACGAGACCTAGATTCATAATCGCACACCAAAATTAAAGCATTTCAGTATGGAATGGAAACAGGATCTTTACCACCCAATTAATTCTGACACGATGATTACAGTACAATATTAATATTTATTATTCAGCCAAGGGCACCATTATTAACATTGTCTACTATACTCTTTGGTTCTTTTGGTAAAGTCACGTAGGAAAGCACCTGATGACGGACGCTTGTGTTGCGCCCGAAACGTCGATTTATTTTCTACCTACGTGACTTTACCGAAAGAACCAAAGAGTGGATTCCTGCAGTCACGAAAGCTTCAAATCAGGATTGTCTACTATTTTTACCTTCAGGATGTGTGCATCGCAATAAAATAAGAAACATCTTGGCCTACTGTCCAGAAAAATAGTTTTTCTCCAAGACAATGCTTGACCCTATACAGCCTATGCCACCACAGCCAAGTTGAACATCGAAGGTTTGGAGTTTCTCCCATACATCCAAATAGGTTGTTTCCTGACATTATTTGAGCAGAGACATTCTTCAGGCAATTGTGCATTGGCTCGGGAAGTTCTGCACTGTGGATGGAGACTTATGTTGAGTCATATTTGAGCTGCCATGTTCCTGGAATGAAAACACTTCGGCAAGCAAAAATCCAGGAATGACTTGAACCAACATTGAATATTTGAACATTGGTGTGCCTGTGGTGATGATGTGCTGTGTGTATCCTTGCAGGCATTTTGAAGATTGGCTCCGTTGAAGAGCACAATAAAACCCAGACGTTTTGCTTCACACCGGCTAAGTTACAACTAAAAGATATTTGGTTGACGATACATGTAAGACAATCATCACTTTTTGGTCTTACAGTAATTGCTCGTTTAATGCCGTAAAAATGTTTCCCAAAAGTGCCGCGTTAAGCAAAAACGTATAAAGCGAGGATTTACTCTACTGAATCACATTTGCACTAGAAAATCTGCCTGCAGTCATCCCATGGCAGGACAACTGAGATGATGGTACGCCGCAATGTACTGTATAATACCGCTCAGCCACGCAGTCGTCAACCACTCAGAATCCGTGTTGTAATGGGCACGTTCTGCGTTGTGCGTAAAGTGTTCCCCCAATAGAAGAACCGCGTTATAGCGAAAGTGTGTTGCATGAACACGCATTAAGCAAGGGCTTGGCGTATGTTGTGTTAACGCTGGGAAGACTGAATGGGGAAGAGTATTATGCTTAGAAAAAGGGCTAATCAAATGTCAGCAGGTTACATTAGATACATTGCAGTCGATTACCAGGTCTTCCTTAAATACAGACTTTTGGTCACAATGAGCTCTTCGTGAAAAATAAGCTTTATATTTATAATACTGTACCTTGAATAACCATTTGGCTTGAAAAGGCATGGTTAAAATGTCTAAAAAGCACAAGTGTAACTCATTTAAAGTGTTATTCAATTGCAGTTAAACCTCCAGGCACATCCCAGTAAATCGAGAAATAATCTTCAGGTATAATTTTCCAATTTAATTTTCCCATATTTCAAAGGTTCAATATTTTAACCAGCTATATAGGTTCCATGACAGCAGTAGTGTGGAGTTGTGAGCCCATTCCACTTCCCAGGTGGAGGTGAAGGGAAAGAATGGTGACGTGAAGTTGCTGATGGGGCACAATGCCACGGAGATTCAGCAGCAGGTGAGCAGCTGGCATAGCTGGATGTGGAGACGGGTGAGCAGTGGTTCCCGAGATGTCTACCACTACTTCAACCTCGCCAACCAGACCTGCTTCTGCGTGGAGACGAGCGGCAACTATGAAGTCAAAGTCATCCGTACCGGTATGTGACACTTCTTTAGGGAGAGTATCTAATACAATATGCTTTAGAGTAATATGGGTCTGATTCATGTGTTGCACAAACTCATTTTCCTTGTGCTTTTTGGTGGATCAGTCACCCAGTTGACAGATAATGGGGGGGGGGGAATGGCAATTATTTAGAAAAAAATATTGCCATTTGTTACAAACTCGTGAATTATGCCTGTAGTGTGTTTGTGACCTGCATTATTTAAATGCGTTGAATTTGCATTATGAAACATACAATTACTTCCAACTGTTAATATTTCCATAGCATGTCTGTCATGGGGTTATTTCATATTTCACCATGCTGGTCAAAAATGAGTTTTAGGATTTTTATTGTGTTGTACATTTTATTGTAAATTCCATTGCTCTTACAATTTGTATGTTTTTGTTTTTTCAGCATTTAGTTGGAGGTTAATTGGCATTCTCCTCTTTGGAATGATTCTTTTCTTCTATGCTGAAAATCTTAGTAGGTATGCATCTTAATGCTCAATGCTTGGTGTTCCTTGTTAACCAATGTATATTATAGCCAATGTTTGACTTATGCAGCATTGGATAATATCACTTTGAGCGTGCTTCTTTTGCAATTAATATTCCTGGTAGTTTAAGAGCAAGAAAAAAAACACCATTGTTGCTACAGCACACAACATTTACAACCAACGAATCCAGTCAAGTACTGATACTGGTGCTAAAGGATCACAAAATTTTGCTAGGTTTTTGCCACACATTTTAAATATTTTGAAATAATGTTAACTTTAAATCAAAGTTTTCAGTTGGTTGTCAAGCTTAACAGTCCATTTTAAGACGTCAAGATTTTTTAGTTAGGAACTGTAAAACACAAATTGGAGGCTTTACAGCTGTAGGAGTGTAGCAGCTTAGTGGCCACGGTTGGGTCATCTCACAGCTGTTCGTCATGTACTTGCAGGAGTGCGACATTCTTTTACTCATCGGGTGTGCTGTTGGGGATTGTGGCATCACTGCTCATCATCATCTTTGTTGTTGGCCGCTTTCTTCCCAAGGTTTGTTGTTGGAAGAACATACACGTCACGTGACAGCCACTGGGTGCATAGAGCGCACACAGCTCAATTATTTGTATGCCATAATTTACAAAAAGTGCTTTGTGGTCCTAAAATTGCATGGAGTGTAGATTATACACGATGCCATTTTGAAATTTACGTCAATTCTCCCACATCACAGTTAATATAAATTGTTCTTGCATTGTCTCGAGATGCATAAAATATTGTCTTTGCACATTTTGTAACAGTGCTTGGGGTGAATTATCGTTTTGACAGTACCAAGGCGGACGTATGCTCTCACTGATTGTTATGCAAGTGAATTAGTGCTTGAAAGGCAGTAACTTATATAAAGATGAATTGCTGGCTTGTTGCCATTACAGAGGTCGAGTGTTTACGCTATAATGGTGGGAGGATGGTCCGCTGCTCTTTTTGCAATGCAGTGGACTTACCGCCACCTGGGAGAGTTGCTTGCTGATCACAAGATGTATGTTGCTGGTAAGTACACTTATGAAATATAGTCCTCAAGTTTCTTGATCAAACCCCACTCTTGTGAGAATAACTTGCATTTGGATAAGGGCCATGCTTGTAACATGTGAATGCAGGCTACCTGGCTACAGTGGGCTTTGTGAGCTTTGCTGTCTGCTACCGGCTGGGACCTGTGACCAACGAGCGGAGCCTGCACATCATGACTTGGACACTGCAGCTGCTGGCCCTTTTGTTCATTTACAACGGCACGCAGATCTCCACAATCTCTTTTGCTATGGTGCTGGTTGCCATTGCCATGCGCCTGCTTCACTACCCAGTGAGTGCTGTGACATGGGTGTGCAGGTGAGAAATTATAATATGCATCAATAAAGGTTTCCCATTGTGGACAGAAACGTGGTAAATTATAACATCTATGTAATCATAACGCACTGATGAAAAGATAATCTGTAAATGTTCTTAGTTTATCTTCACATTTGCCTTGGGTTTTCTAAGCTTGTCTTCTCCGTTTTATCATGGGGACACCTGTTTGGCCAAATTACAGAAAAGTTGGGTATAAGACACCTTTTAAGCATCCCCCTGAGGTGCGTCTGCTGACGGAGGAAGAGTATCAACAGCAGGGTGAGGTGGAGACTCGAAGAGCCCTGGAAAATCTCCGAGAGCTTTGCCACAGCCCTGACTTCCATGCTTGGAAGGCTGTCACGCAGCTCAACTCGCCAAGACGGTAAAGAGTCACTCCCCTACATAAATCACAACCAGTGGCACAGCATTGCAGGAAAAGCTTGGCCATTTTCCAATCAGTGTTTGATATAAACCCATGTATCTTTTATATCGCAGATTCTCTCAGCAAAATAACTATACTTTTTGTACTTCAGGTTTGCAGATTTCGTGGAGGGCTCCCCACATCTCAGCCCACAGGAAATGTCACTGCACAGTCAGCAGTACAGCCATCCATGGGAATTAGAAGATGAGTGGTACAACTCATTCAATGAAGATGAGGGTGAAGAGGAAGCCATCTCCAACCACCTCAACCACTCAGCCCGACAACCAAACCAAGATTGAGTCTTGCAGAAATGTTTTATGTGGTAGATTTTAATGGGTTCTTCTTGGCGTATGTATATATTGCCTTTTTTAGATGCCGTGTTAACATTTCCGATCTGTGAGATGCCAAAAAATCTGGTATATTCAAGTCGTCTTTTATTCGTGGCGTGTTTCACGTACGACCATTCAGTGTGGATGCTTGATGTGTGATTGTTAAACCAATTATGACATGGATTTAGCCATATAAATTCTGAGAATGCATGCTGCACACCTAAGTTAAACCATCAATTCAAGATTAAGCATTTTGGTATTGCTAAAAGTATTTTTCTATAGTGAGACAGATGAGCTTCCACTATCCCAGGTGAGGGAATGTCCACATATTATACCTTTCTGTATTGAGATAATACTGTTCTGCTGGTAACACTTTACAATTCTAAATCTGTAAGAGCAAACTAAATGTACTTGTACAACGTTAAATATGCAGCACAATTGTATGCTCTTGGTATAAATGTACATATTGTATTGTGGTGGATTTCCCAAAATACTTGCACTGCTGGTCACACTTGCACTTGGTTTTGGTGAGCTCTAACAAGATTATCGGCAGGTTTGAATTGCAGTACTCCCTCGTATTCATTAACAATGTGGTGCCTTGTAAAGCTTGCATAGTTTAGAAACGTGCCTTTAAATATGCTCTGTTTTGTCATCTTGATGACGAGTGTAATTCACCTGACCTCATTTGAGGCAACATTACAAATACTTCTCCAAGCATGTACATAGGGGAACACATTTGTTGGCCGCTTGCAGTTTTATTTTTCCTACTGAGTCGAGTTGTAAATGTATAATCGCGACCTGTGAAATGTGAGATTTTTATTAGTTTTATACAATTTTTACTGCTTTGCTTCGTTATTAAAGTTAATTAAATTGGGAAGGTTTTGGAATGTTTTCTTCTAACTGCGGGTTAATATACCCTGTCAGGAAATTATCATCTTGATCTTATCTTTTGTAAGGGTCTCTACATAATAAACTGACAGCCGTTGCAACGGGTACGGTCACAGCCCATTGGCCAGCTGTCAAGATGCAACGGCCGGCACATCCAACAACCATCTCCGAGTTTTAACACGTAGGCTTTTGCGACCAATATCATCCATAACCATCTGCTAGTGCGATTGTATCACCAGTGCTCACTACATTGGTGGGTTGGGAGTGGGAGGTGCCAATTAGTGGAACCGTTCGAAACTCGGCCCGGGAAATTTTAAGAGATGAGGGTCGGTTAAAGACCAATTCGCGTTGGATTTGTTGAAGGGCAAGAAGTGGCTGAGATGATTATGGAAGTTGGGAGGGGTGGGGGGGACTAGCTTTATAAGGGCTTCAGAAAACGTCTGGCCTCACTCGGGACGACTGCGCGTTGGTGTTAACGGAAATAAACTTCCTATAAACTACGTGGTTTGATTCCTCCACGTGACAGTGAAGATTTCGGTGTAATGCAAACGTGTGCTGTTTATAAACTTGTTTACGGTACGACAAAAATAGTTTATAATTGGTAATGGTTGTATTATTAAGTGTAACCACTGAATTGTTTTTGCAAACACGCATATGTGACAAGCCTGCGTTAGGTTGTCTATTCAAGCAGAAACATCGAATTAGCATCTTTTTTTGGATGACAGGAATGCTTTTGTAGTGTTTATAAAGACGAATAAACTTCTTAGGAGGCACACTGTTTATTGTAATTATTTCCTTATACAGTCCTTGACAAACAGGGGTATCCGGTTTCCCTCACCCGATACCCTAAGGAGGTACAGTCTCCGGACTTGGCGGGACTTGCACGTCTACCGCTATCCTAGCTTAAGGAGGTACAGCCTCCGGACTTGGCGGGACTCACACGTCTACCGCTATTCTAGAGTCCTCCGGCTGGGACCTAGGGGAAGCTATCTGACCCATCGCTGGCCCGGTGGGACCTGACCGCTGGAAACGCCGAGCCTTAGCCCTCAGAAGGGCTGGGAGGCTAGTCCAGGGTCCTAGCTAGTCTTCAGCCCGGGCTTTGGTCTTCCTGTAGGGAGAGAACTCCCCGAGCTCTGTTGGGTCACCATTTTTATACTCGTTCGTGGCCAGGTATAACCAATCACACATTCCCACGTGGAACTGGCTGATTGGTTCTTACCAAACCGTGGCTACGGTCCACTTCACCTCGTCTGACCCCAACCGTTATGCACCCAGAGGTAACGCTGCCCCTTTTATACCTGGTGGCAATGCAGGTTATCGAACAGTGCGGAGTTAACGCATCTACACTTTTAACAGCAATATGTAATGCATGAAAATAGTGTCCGTCACGGCTTTTTAACATTAATGCATACTGACAAATGATTGAGTTTAAAAATACCTTCCATAACAGCTATTAGGTTAAATGCACTGCAGAGGGGCAAGCCTTTCATCCTCTGTTTTCTTTTCAAAGACTAAGTGGAGTTGGCTTGTCGCATTCGTGTTTTATTGTACAAATTAAAGACGCTCAAGTATTTCCATTTCGATAACGCTCATTACGTGTTTTCCCTTTAAATGACTGGAGAGAGCCCACCACACGTTGAGTGCTACTCCTTGCTGCGTGCCGTGCTCTGACCCATCGCGGCTAGGTGGCAGCATCTGCCTGTGTGCTGCCGAAAGAAACGTCCCTGTCTACAAAGTGCTTGTGACAAGCCAGGTAGGACTGCAGTCCGCCCACGTCAAACCTCCCCGACACCTCAAACGCGTACACCGGTTTCCTAGGGTCCCAGGCCAGAGGAGGGGTGGGAGGGAGGGAGGAAAGAGAATCAATCCTTGGCAGCTGTAGTTGAACGGATGATTTGTCACGTAACGCGTGTTCAGCATGCTTCTGGGTTGGCAATCGGGCAACTTTGAACATCACCATCCATTGATAGGATGCTAATGTAGCGTGGCGTGCCTTTCATAAAATGGGTCTAAATGAAAGCTAAATAAATTTTGATTTAAAGCTTTCGTGACTGCAGGGATTCATATTCTTGGTTCTTTCGGTAAGGTCACGTAATAAAATAATAAAAATATAAAACAATAAAATTCTCACGACGTTTCGACTGCAACACAAGCAATCATCAGGTGTGAAAACCATAGCAAATTTTTTTTTTCAAATTTTCTTCTACGTGACTTTACCAAAAGAACCAAGAATATAAAGCTAAATAGTTATAATTTCCACAACTGTATCGTAACAATGCTTAATGGACCTGCAAATTTCTCATCTATGTTCATCCTTAACTCGGCAATCAACAGATTCCTGAATCTCGAGTCTCCAAAATAGTTCTAGATTTGAAGTTTTCGTGACTGCAAGGATTCATACTCTTTGGTTTTTTCGGTAAAGTCACATAGGTAAAAAATTAAAACAAATAAATTAAATCACGACGTTTCGGGTGCAACACAAGGGTCCTTCAGGAAGAAGGATGCTTCTGTTGCGCCCGAAACGTGATTTAATTTTTTTACATTTTTTACCTACGTGTCTCCAAAATAGCAAAGTGTTTTCTATGGAGATATCAGGTATGGCATCGGTTGAGAGGTAGCAGGGAATGGAAGTTGACAGGACGCACACACCTTGGATACAGCCACGCCAGGAAGTTTCCAGGAGCATCACGTGCCTCCAGAGGAGCATCCTAAAAGGTAATCGTAATGATAATTTAAACTTGTAATGCACAGTATGCGTATACTCTCGCAGAGAGAGAATGACTCGTCAAGAGCAACCACATGGGAAAGGCAGCCTGGTGGTTAGCCGGTACCAAATTCTGCGATCCCCTATATGTTTAGGCATTATTGGCAAATTAATTAGCGTTTACATATGGGAGGATACTAGAGCACCCAGATAAAATCCAGCTGTGTGAAGGGGCAACTATCTTATACAGATCGAGCAAGGTGGAGTTCACAATTGCTCTACCATTTCTCTTGGAAAGCAAGGGTATGGCAACTCATTGCCTGTGTGAAGGGAGTTTCACAAGATTAGTGTGGTCCACCAAACATTGCCTCCACAATAATGGATTACAGGCATGCGTGACCACTTGATAAATAACTTCGCTGCTTTAGGCCATCGGTGCTCATATTGCTTAAATATGGGCCACGATAGAGCAACAGAACAGATCTTTGGGCTTCTAACTACAAGGCTACTATCACATGTGTGGAAATGGATAAGCAATAGCGTGAGCCACATGAAAATTCATACAGCGCATAATACGTGCAAGAGAAAAATAGATAATTGGCAACACTATTTTGACAAACCAATTTACAAGCACCTACAAGTACTGTGCATTCAGATATCAATGGATTGCATGAGCCTCTCTGCCTCAAGGGGGTTTTTTTTGTGAGGAAGCACATGGCTGGCTGGACTTTTGTGTTCAGGTTTTGGCCACGGCAATAATTTTCACCAAAGTTATGATTTTTTTTTCACGGTGGGGATTAGTGAAATTTGCAGTGGAGATGGAGAGAAAAAAAACTATTGACAGAAATAGATTGTGGAATAAGGTGAGACGGTGAATATTTTTGAGCAAATCCATCATATACAATTTGTACTGCTCACCTTCCTCTCATGCAGGAAGTCTTTCAACAATGGCAGGGCATGTTTAGAATAAACATAAAAACACGGACACTGCAACACAAAATTCGAGCATCTCTGGGTTAGCTCACAAGATTAAAATAATGTATGCATATCTGTATGTAACCTGGTGGTGCAACAATTCACCTCTAGCGATTTGATTAATTGTCATGATTCAGGGTTGCGATTCATGTTTTCATTCGATTTTACAATGTGGTGAATTTAGCGGCCACTATAGGCTCCATACAACATACAAATCTAAAAACATCGCATCTTACTCGATTTGATGAACACATCATGAGCTCACCAATCAATATCAAAGAATGAATTCATCGTTAAATTGCAATTTATAACGATTAAATTACTCCGAGATGAACTAAACATTTGCCAAAACACACAATTGCCCATGATATGTTATGTGTCAGCCAAGCCCAGTTTAATGTTCGAGCATTAAAAACCTTTGTCGACTGGGTGATTAAAAAGTGTACCCAGGAACAGTCCTCGAGGCGTTTGGGTGTTAATTCATATAACTCAAGCTGTAGTCAGCTAAAATCTGGAAAACAATCTAAAGAGCTGATAGTGGGAGGATGTGTCCAATACGGGGCCATCCATTTAGTACGTACGCATGGAGGGGGGAGGGGGGGTTAACCCAAATGCGTACGCATTGCATTTGGGGGGGTCTACTGACAATGTACGTACGCATAGTAAACGGGGGGGGGGGGGGGGGGTTGAAGCCTCGATCATAATTTATCTACATTGGCCTTCAAATGCGTTAGATAGTCCGGCGGTGGACTATCTGTTTGCTTAAACACTCTCGTGAGCGATGACTTTGTTTGATGTCGCTACATAGCCAATAACCTGACAGACTTTGTGTTTAAAGTTCTCCGCAAGAAACCCTGCAGTGTTGTCACAACATACTTAACGATAGCTGGTTGTGAACCAGTTTTAACGCTGCGCCATTGAAGTTTAGTGCCTGATATTTTTCCTTTCAAAGCCCACATTGACTAAAATAATTTAAATTTCTATGAAAGTATATTAATATTATTCATCCTCGATCGTTTCTGCGTGGATAAAATATCGGCCGTTCTATAGGATTCGGGGGGGGGGGTGCATCAAGCGTACGTACGCAGGTAGGGGGGGTGTAAAAAGTACGCGTGGGTACAGGGAGGGGGGAGGGGTCAAGTTTTGACAGATTTTTGCGTACCTACTAAATGGATGGCCCCCTATTGCCACCAGTGCTGTACCAAAAAGGAGTAGGAAACTTTTTCATTTAACTTATGAACATGCATAATTGTGCGTCACTGGCTTGGGCCATGGCATGTTTTTCTGGTGCTCAGAGTGAATATGCACATGTGACCATTTGTCCCATGATGCACTGAGCAGGCAGCTGGACAGCAGTGGCGTCGTGGTGGTTAGCGCACTGCACTGTGATCAAGGTAAACCTGGTTTAGGTTCTTTGAAATACAAAGAAAATATTTTTGTATCTAATGCTGGTCATGGTCTCTCTCTAGTTTACTCAACAAAAAATATTACCTCATGCTTTGTGCCAACATAAATAGTAGGGAGACATATTCTGTGTGACGTTGGCTTTAACAGATGCGCATTAACAGCATCTGCTTCAGAAACTTGTCCAGAAAATAAGAGGTGCCTTTGATGAAAGAAGAATAGGCTTTACCCATTTCGGCAATAACACAGGTGTTCAGATGTTCAAACATCAAATAGACACCTATTGCACGGCATCCAGTCTGCATTAACCACACATGCTTGTGGTAAAACAGACAAACATGCTTTGATAATGTACACATTGTTCTTAAAACTGATTTGCTGACATCAAAAACAGCCTCCTTCATGACCATGTCTCACCAGTTTTAGACCAGATAATGCCTAAGGCGAATAGCAAAAAGGAAATGCAAATATCCAAGGCATTAATAGCTTTGGTTGAGCAGTAGTTATATCTATGGGAGACTTCATCATATTGATAACGTCAAAAAGGGTCCCAATGATCTAAGAGGAGCCTTTGTCTACATTGCCGCCCTACCGCTCTCCGTGAGCTGGTTTCCTTGGCGCTGGGTTTCTCCAAGAAGGCTGTAACCTTCCGCGTCTCGTCCACCTCCAGAATGCCAAACTTCGTGGTCTCTGCACGCAGCGCAGCCACAAGGCATGCACCGTCACCCCCTGGGTATACACAGATCTACACTCTACACATTGACGTGCCAACAACAGTGCTCATTCATATTCCCAAAAGTGCAATAAAAATCAATACACAACGCATCCAAAACTACAAGGCACTAGAGGACAGCAGCTGGTAAGAGACAAGTGTAATGCTTTGATATAGATGTGTATATATATCAAAACATATATATCAAAGCATTTCTATTTGCCCATCTCACTCATCAAACACAATAATCTAACAATGATTTCCTACTAAAATGTAATTATGATAAATCACCTGAACTGGTATACATACGATTTTTAAAAATTTATTTTCCACTGTAAAGTGGATATGAATTTGTAAAATGTATAACAACATCCTGCAATGTCAACTTAATGTTCCCAAATTACATCATAAATAAACAATTTGATAACAAGATGACAGCCCATAAATCACATCCAATCACAGATATTGACTTAAATGAAAAATATATTCTTTGTTAGTTGGATATTTTCCATGATTTCTCACCTATTTATCAAGGAAAATATAATACATATGAAAAATACCACAACAAAATACCAATCCATCGATATAAGTGTTTGTGTGCATAGTAGCCACACCGTGATCCGCACAGGAGTAGGACAGCACCAGGCTGCATTCGGGCCCTCTGTGCTCCTGCAGACCAAAGAAGCGGTCGATCACGGCGGAAAGATTGAAGTCTTCGTAGAAAAGCGTGTCCCTGCGCACATGACAAGCAGCACATGGTCTCTGCATTCCTCGCCTGATCACCGCTGATCACCGCTGATCACCACTGATCACCACTGATCACCTCAGCATTTAAATGGGACATTGTTTCATTGTACCAGAGTAAAGTTGAACTGTCCCCATGCCAAAACAATCCTTTTGATTTATATAGCATCTGAACGTGACTGCATATTAAGATGCCGTACAGAAACAGTGGGCATATTTACGTGAAAGATAGAGGCAGTTAGAGGACAATCATACATATAGTTTTGGTGATCTGTGCCTAACGCCTGAGACTCTGCTTGTCTGTGTGTCTGTGTGTCTCCGTGTCTATGTTTTGTCTCTCTCTCTCAAATTTAACAATCTTTGGAAGAACGTAATCAACCAGGTGGGGTGTTGACTTTTGTGTTGGCCGACTCTCTGTGTTGTACTGCATTATATTTCCAAGTTTACTATGCTTGTTTTCTCATTCATTTGTTCCTGGGGATGGTTACTTGTGTTGCAATTGAAACGTCGTATTTTATTATTATTATTTTATTTATTTCTCCGTGACTTTACCGAAAGAACCAAAGAATAATCATTCCTGCAGTCACAAAAGCTTCGAATCAAGTATGGCATTGTTCATCTGTTTGTGGAAATTCCGAATTAGTATATCCATTATAAAACCAGTAGTGTTATGTACTGGAATTGTCATGAAGTCTCACCATTATTTGTATTGTAGTCACACATCATCCATAAAGAGACACGCTTCAGCTGGACAAGAACAGACTCACTTTGGGATGTGACTCAAGGCACTTGGGGGTCTATTTTAATACAACTGTAGTGACATTGCGGATGTAACTGTGTAATGCCGGCCCTAGAGAGGCACGGCGTGCGATGTATTGACATCGCGGGCACCACGTATATGTGGTGCAGTACCGGCCCTGGAGGGGCTCGGTGAGCGCTGACTGACAGTGCTGGATGGCACCACGCTTGGCATGCAGTGCCGACCACTACAGGATAGGGTGTGAGAGTGTCGGCCACGGGAATGGGGTTACTATGGGCCGTGGCACTCTGGTTGACCCCAGAGAACACGTGACCGGTTAAGTCTACACAGGGCCCCCAAGTGGGGGCGTGGGGTGGTCACGTGTCAGGGCCGAGATCCTGCTCGAGGATTCTAGAACGTGGTCGTGGCTAAGGGCGGGACCAGCCCCCCCACAGAGGATATAATCCGGGTCCCCGAGAGAGACCGGCTGCTGTTGTTCATCCTGAAGAATCTACGTTCTACGTCCTACAGAGTCCCCAACACGTGGACCTGGACCCAAGCTGGGGTCCGTTGTAGCTAGTTACCGTGTAATTAGTGCAGTTAGCCTGGTGGTCTACCACGATAGGTTGTTAGAGTGTTAAGGGGTAGTTACCCCGTGTGTTGGTATTAATAAATGTGTTGCCTGCAAAGAGTACGTCTACGACTCAGTTGAACCCACTACACAACCGTGGATGCACGCTCCCATGCACCCAACCGGCACACAACGAGCAAAAACGTCACGTGTACATTGAGTACGGTTATAAAATGTATTCCAATTTTCACGTAATTGTCCATAGTACTCATGTTGTGATGTTACTGTACTGTAATTGTTAAGTGAACAAATCAATTTATTTGCAGCCGCAATGGACGATACTGTTGTAGTTTTCTGGTAGACTTTAACCTGCAGGTCTACGAGATGGCTCTATGGATTTTTGAGTGCATACTTTTTTTTCTACGTACACCAAATTTCCTCACATCCAGAATACTCAATAAGAAACTGACCAAAAAGTAGCAAAATAGGACTCTCCTGATACTGGGATGTAGTTATGTTATTCTGAATAAAATATTTATTATTGTTCCTCGAAGTGGCTTCGAGTTGTACCATGATTCTATTCAGGAATTAAATTCCTGCAGAATCTCCCAGCAGGTGGAGCAAAACGTACGACGCCATGCCGAAAAATGCACACACATCGGAGAGTTACACCGCACAGCCGCGAAAGGCTACACAGGAGTGATACTTATTATTTCCAGAGAGAACGTTACACGACTATAATGCACCAGGCTTTAGAGGCTCGGCTGCATGTGCTCACCCCCCTATGACGATGGTGTGGTCTTCTTGCAGGCCACACTGCTCAACAACCAGCTGGAGGCAAGCGATGGCCCCCAGCCGCTCCTGAGGACACACCAGTGAGGAGGAGGATGAAGCTGTCATTGTGTTCAAGTTGTAATACCAATGCAAGTGACAATATTAACCCTTTCCCAATAAAATAACTTTATCGGTACCGAGGCTCCCATAAGGCCATGAGGGAGGGCGTGTGGCACAGTTTGGCGCCAGCTATCGTAGAGTGCGGATGTGATCCCTGACATGCATTACCCCGGCGTCTACAAACTAAGCTGTGTCTGCGGCAGTAGTTACATTGGGGAGACTAAGCGACATGTCTCGGACCGTGTTCGTGAACATAAGGCAGATCTGAAACACGGTAGGAACAATACCTCGGCCGTGGCTGATATTTTTTTCAATGCGGTGGGCTCACACGAAAATGATTTCTCTAAGACGAAGGTACTTTGCAAACCCACTGGCTATCAACAATGATTCGTTCATGAAGCCATCCATATATATAGACACAGACACAATTTCAACCGAGAAGATGGGTACAAACTGAGCAATCTTTTGGAAGGACGTTATCAACCAGTTTAAGTTATAATTGGCTGTGATGTTCCCATTAAAACCACCTTCCGATGTTAGTTGTGCTTCACGCCCATTTCAGACTTGCGCATCCACAGGGTTCACACCAACACAGTCACTTCGCGCGCCGACCCCTCGGTTGCGGCTCTTTGATCTCCCATTAACATGCTAATCTCTTAGTCTTGGTTCTTTTGGTAAAGCCACGTAGAAGGGAAACAATAAAATAATTAAAATATAAAACAATAAAATTCTCACGACGTTTCGACTGCAACACAAGCAATCATCATCAGGTGTGAAAACCACAGCAAGAAAATTTGAAAAAAGTGGCGGGTTTTTTTATGCTAATCTCTCTTTAACATGCTAATTTTAACCTGGAAGCCATTTGATTGGTGAAAAACTAACCACCGTCGGGTTGGGCTGCCTACCACTTACATTATCATTGGCTGCTGACATTTGGGCTACGCCCATTTCAAACCCCTTATAAGCAAGATGAGTAGTTATCCCAAAACAAGGACTAATCTAAGGACGAAATTCACATTAAAAATGAAAATTATTATTAAATGGTTGAACTCTTTATAAGATTAATGAAAACTGGACTTGCTAAAGATGTCACTTCAATGAGTTGCAGGGAAACTGATTTTCAGTTGTGAATTATAAACTTGTAACATTTTGCTACACTTAAAGGTGCAGAACATAAAGGACTCAATGAGGGCCAAAGAATACAGAATGACTGGGATCCTCACCTCATTTTGAGTGGTGCCATCATTTACAACGGTCACGAAAGGACCGTAATCTTGTGCCCATGCCTTAAACTTAGCATGGAAGAGCTCATTCGTCTGCACACACAAACGAGAGCCTTTAGTCACAATCGCAGCATCAGCTCCAGGCCACAGGAAACTATGTGGGTTATAGTAAGCCATGTTCGCGCACAATGATTTTCTGGATAACGGTAAATGTACGACTAAGAAATACTCAAAAGTCTACCTAATAATATGTTCATATATCAATTGTCTCCAAATGTCAGCTACCCACAAAGCTCTCACTAACTTAAAAAGTATTCTGGCTGTCCCTTTTGGTCTGCAGAAGGAACACTGCTTTAAAATATATATAGGCATGCAATGATTCACTCTTCCCCCATTGTGATTCCATGAATTGTCACGATTCAGGATCACAACTTTATGCAACAATCTATGATATGCATGCATCTTGAGAATACGCAATCACAATCATGTATTATTTGTACAATCAGTTGAATTTAAGTTACAAAGTGCCACACAATAAGTCGAGATAAGAAAATAAAAGCTGAAATATCAATTAACGTTTAGGGAAAACAATAAGCAACAAACATCAACAGAAGCATCCGAAGGTATCAAGCACTGTAGTAGAAATAATGTAGGTTCATTAACTTGATGCGAAAGAAAGCATGCAAGAGCTTAAGCATGTGTGATGTACACAGGCAATGCAATACAAGATTACAGATGTTCGGCACACGAATAACTATTCAGCTTGCATTTTTATTTTTGTCGTTGCATTGCTCGAATTTGTTGAGTTGTTGATGACGACACTAATAATGTGCATGAACACCAGTGCTACGTTGTTTACACGTCTGCTGGAAATTCACGCAGAAGAGCGGCAGAATTAAAACCACAGCCTGCTTGGGGGGGGGGGGCACAGGAGGGTGCACTGACCACCACGTAGACGTGCTCGACATGGTGGCCACGTGCGTTGGCCTCCCCCAGCGCCCGCATCCAGTGGGAGGCGAGGGGCAGGGCCCCCACTGGCAGTAGCGGCTTGGGGCAGCCGAGCAAGTGGGAGTGGACACCAGTGACGTCTGCGCGGACGTCCCGCTCCAGTCTCGTGCCGTAGCCCGCAGCCAGGACCACGGCCCTCATGCCTGCAAAGCAATTAGCCAGGGGTCAGAACTCGGTCACCTACTGCGTAGGCTTTCACAATCGTGCTCTTCAGCAGTGATTTTCACTGCAAGGCCGACGGGCCACTGGCGGCTCCTCGTGGCCTTTAGTGCGGCTCATGACGTGAGGCCCCCGGCAATACACAAATGTGAAAACACTCCCATCGTGCTGCTGTCAAACCCAATGGTTTCAAATGCGTGGTGGCCCTCACACTGATGTCCTTAGGGGCGAAAGTGGCTGCCCTCTCAAAATGAGTGAACAAACAGCACCGTTCTACAGTATAGCTATTTGATGTGTTTTCGGGGTACGTGCCAACGTCCGTTTCCCTCCATGTGCCGAAGAAGCTCCGAGGACGTGGAGAAAAATGTCAAGGCATCGTACTGAACAACGCATGGAACACACACAAAAACGAACATTTACAAAGTGAATTTGACACTAGATAATAACGCCACCATGGTCAAGTGTAAGGTGTGCAGGGATAAGGCATGAATATATTGTATAGCACTTCAATCGAATATGTTCGAAAATAGATGTTGGAACAATGGTGTCAGGTCACACAACCTTTTAAACAGTAAATATGAAGTTAAAATAAGTTTTGCATTTGAAATCAACACTGCCGTTGATAATTATGGACCGGCTGTGAAGTTTTATTCGAGTAATCAAATCATTACATTTGGCGTTCGCATCATTGTTATAGTGCACAGCTAAAATAAAGGAGTCATCGTCTGCAGCAGTTTTGCAGTTGAGGGCGATGTTTCTGTTTTAGCCCAATTCAGTAATTTGTGGAATAGTTTTTTCAAACTTGGACCCTCATGCTGACACACATGGCCTATTCTTTTTAGAATAAATTCAAGGGATCTTTGACGTCCACTGTGAAGCAGACGGTGTGTTAATACATTGTCCAGCACAGCTGGGAGCTTGAACCGCAAACACACTGCAAGCGGCAAACTTATTTACCACTTGGCCATGTCACAGTCTATAGAACGCTCACCTCTGTCATTCCTCACTCCCATGCCTTACTGATATCCTCATATTTGCACCTTTTACCTACATTTACATCACACTCACTCATTACCCAGTTGAAATCTACAAAGCAACAATCGCCACCTACTCCAATACCTGAAATGATCCTCAAGAGACTCAGTGAGAGTGTCCTGGGTAAACAAAGGTCATTATTTTGATAACTGTTGTCATGCATAAACGTTCATCCAGCAGTGAATAGATCACGGACGACAGTGATGACGATGACATCCCTATCCTGGCATGCCAGTGGGAGTGCTGTAGAATCAGAAATTGGTCTAAATCCTATTCACAATTAAGCACATACAAAAACGCCATTTTCAATGAAAAATTAAAAAACGTAAAGAACCAACACACCGCATCACGAACCCAACAGCACGTCCCTGGCTTCGACCTCCCTCGAAGACAGTGGGCAGCACCCCACCGACACAACAGGCCACGGGCTGCGATGCAGCCTCATTGCTTTACAAGTGGAATATGGGAGGGATGTGACCCCAAGTGCGACTGTGGTCATGAGTCCCAGACCGAGGAACGAATCACATCAAACCGCCTTTCGTGGGAGGTGCTTCATTTCTCAATTTAGCATCTCAGGAAGTCACCGAGTGGATCGCCATATAAGACATCCCATTATAAGCTTTGCTCATCGTACGAAATCAAACAAAATAAAAAATGTTAGGACGGGCAGGGGACACCAGCAGCCGCCATGCTGGTGGTCAGCACGAACGCCAGGGCACAGGGTCACAAGGCCATGGTGATGGTCAACACGGGTGCTTGGGCATGGGTCACAAGACCATGCTGGTGTTCACAGGTGCCAAGGCACGGGGTCACAAGGTCATGCTGGTGGTCAGAACGGACGCCAGGGCACAGGGTCACAAGGCCATGGTGATGATCAACACGGGTGCTTGGGCATGGGTCACAAGACCATGCTGGTGTTCACAGGTGCCAAGGCACGGGGTCACAAGGTCATGCTGGTGGTCAGCACGGACGCCAGGGCACAGAGTCACAAGGCCATGGTGATGGTCAACACGGGTGCTTGGGCATTGGTCACAAGACCATGCGGTGTTCACAGGTGCCAAGGCACGGGTCACAAGGTCATGCTGGTGGTCAGCACGGGCGCCAGGGCATGGGGTCACATACTACTATTATTTTACCAGCTAAGGCCCACTGAGCTATTTACAGCATAGCTCTTTTGCAGAAGCGATCTGGATACAAATGATAGCTCAACGAGGTGGCTTATCATGTGGAAAATTAAAGCAACAACATACTCTAAACGCATTTTGTTATTTCTAAACGTAGAGGAAAAAAACCGGAGGACCCGGAGAAAAATCCACGCGACCACAAGGGAATGAGACACCGCAAGCTTCAAATATACAAACCTGTCAACCCCTTATCAGTGGCTACTTTATTACGGCCCAATTCAGACCTTATTGGTCACCCCGTTCCCTTATAAATCTCAACGTTCATCCTACAAAGTCCCATCACAAGGGAGTAACACTATATATATTTTCCCACCCGTATTGAAACGGCTTTCCGCCGTATGGACCTGAAAACTCAATTTCCCTGCGCACAGAATACGCGCTAAGCCGTATGGGTTGACGGGTATGAATATACATCGGGCATCACTGGGTCAGGATCGAAACCCACGACCTCCTGCGTACCAGGCGAGGGTGATAACATCTCGCCCCCGCGACGCACGAGGCCGTGCGGGTGGCGAGTCTCGTGAAACGTGAACCCGGATAAAAGGTAATCGGGGCTCGTACTGTAATTAAACGTAGACACCTCTAAGTGGGACGTAAGTTTGTGTAAAAAAAACAAAAACACCCCACGTGAACAATTTGCCGTGTTAACGCGTTGTTGTTATTGATTCTACCGCAGTGATGAGCACGCGGGCGGTGCGCGTGGCAATCGCCGTCAAATCCGTGAACTGCGTGAATTTAAAAGCCAGGATAAATTCCTGCCGCGATCTCACCGAGTCGAACGACGACGGTACTTCTTCTGGTTGTTGTACTGTGTGTATGTATATATTAAATGTGTTTACACAAGAACCGGAACTGTGTGCATTGCCAAGTCGCTCTCCGGGGCAAGTGGGGACCGGCGCAGTCACCGTTGGTGGTCGTGGCGGTGACGCCGGAAGACCCCCTTGGGTGGCTGAACCTCGCCGGGTTTTTCTGCTCTGTCCCCACCGCCACCACCACCAACCACCACCGCCAACAACCACCACCACAAACAAACAGCACGGAGACGGAACTGGAAGAGAAGACGCGGCCCAGTCGGACTCCGACGGACACGGCACCTCCGCTGTGGCCCCTGCCGGCCACGTGGCGCAAGTGCAGTGTTGTCATCTGGGGGATGAATTGGCATCTCTTTTTAATGACGAGAAAGAGAGACAGACCCACCACCCACCACCACCATCGGAGAAGAAACGACACAATTCGTGCAGTTCCTTTGATATGTTACACAGAGAGAGAGAAAACAGGATAGGAACCCACTGTCTGAACTGTATTCTGCAGTTTGATGATGGCGACATAAATTAGTATAACCTTTTAACTATCTGTATGTTGTGGCCGTTTCTCCAAAGTGACATTGGCACGCAGAGAACGAACATATTTGCATGTTTAACATGCACACAAATACTGTACCGGCATACACTACGTTTAGTTACTTTTTCTTGTAAAAAAACAAGACTTGACTTTGTGAATCACTAAAATGCTGTATGAATATCGTTCCTTATTCTGGTATTGGCAGTTTCTGCCACTCAACAGCTATGCATTCTGTCGCTAACATTCTTGCAAACGTAACTAGTTCGCAAACACAATGGTTTTTGAAAACCACATCAACAGCTGTCCCTTGTACGAACGTTTACTCTCCGTCAATATTCATCGAAATCATTCTATCGAGACGTAAGACATGCATCCCTTTTCTGAGATAACCTTCAAACCGTATACAAAAATGGCAAACGAAATGTAACCACTGTAAATGTTGTTTCGTTCCAAACAACATTTTGCCGAGATTATTTTAATCTCCACAATATAATGTTTGGAAAAATAAATGACCAATTAAAACAATATCAGTTAACACATAGTGCTTTGATGTGCAAATGTTTCTTGCCGTTGGTTTTCACACCTGATGATGACTGTGTTACAGTCGAAACGTTGTGAGAATTTTATTGTTTTATATATATTTTATTGTTTCCCTTCAACGTGACTTTTCCAAAAGAACCAAGAATATACATACAAATATCCTTAAGGAAAACAAGATGGGGAAAAACATTTTTTTTACAAACAAGCAACTGACCCCGTTACAGGCCCTTTGCTTCTTGCCATTAACCCAATTGTCCTCCGCCGGAGGTGAAATTAGCTATTATGTTCTCAAAAAACAAACGATGCTCTTTGTTAGACTTTTACTCCCATATGCCATGTGGAATGCCACTTCACTGTCAATTGGCCATATGAAAGAAAAATAACGTAAATGCGACGTCTTTTCGGATAGTACAGTATGTTGTTACATTTTCTTGTAATCTTATGAAGCAAAAAATTTCCACTTGAGCCCAAATTGGTCCCAGGGAGAATGGGACTTGTATTTGCAGGAAGTAAATTTGCAGGCAGCATATTAAATACATTGCAGTAGTTATCTACAAACCATTGGCGACTTCAAGTAACGTAACAAATAATGGCCATAAGTAGGTTAAGGTTGCATCTTTTTTTAATCAATGCTAATTTTCTGTATTGAGCCCTTTTACGTTTATGTTCATCATTCACCATGAGGCACATGTGAGGCTTAAAGACCACGTTCGTCATCGTTTTAAAGGCAGAGGCATCTTTAAACAGGTTATTAAAAGCAAACAACATTAATCTCCAAAGCAGAGCAATTTGAAATCAGGATTGAAAAGGCAATAGTAATAAACTTGATAAACGTTTTGTTCTGCAATTGACTGAATAAATTCGTTTACCTTCTTTGTGCAGGGAATTTAGCCAGGCTGTTTTAGTTGATAACATGTCCTAAGTACCTCTGGAAAGTTTTGGAGTTCATGTCATTATCATCCTGGATGCGTATACGTCATTATTAATGAGCAATGTCCCTAAGTGGAAAACTGGTTTGTACGTGCATTTTTGTACAAGCATACAGAGATGTGCATGTGTCATACTGGTTAGCACACTGCACCCCCCTTATGCCTCTTTCGATCCATCAGTAGAAAGGGTTCACTACAGTTTGCCGATCAGCAGATCGCGCATGGTAGGGTAAAGTATGGGTATTCCCACCTCTTCCAAAAGTCTGGCCTGTGTACAAGAGTAAATAGAAATACCCTATATAGTTATATTCTTAGCTCTTTCGGTAAAGCCACGTTGAAGGGAAAAAATAAAATAATAAAATATATAAAACAAAAAAAATTCTCACGACGTTTCGACCATAACACAAACGGTCGCAAGCAGGTGTGCCGGTTTGCATTTATTTATTTATTTTTAAACGGTGTATTTATTTAAAAAAAAAACCGTTAGCACCACGGGCAGCGATTTGGCAGTTTATTTAGAAGGACGAGTCCATCTATGTTCTGAAAAGAGGAGGGGGAGACGAAAAATGTATGTATGCTGTTTGTAAGCGTGAACAATCAATTAAGACCTGAAATGGTTTATCAAATCTTTCCAATGATTGCTAAGCCAGAATCCATCTTCTCGGTTGAAATTGTCTCTGTGCTTGTATATGTGGATAACCTCATGAACGAATCTCTCATGGTAGCCAGATGGGATTCGTCCTTCTAAACAAACTGTCAAATCGCTGCCCGTGGTGCTAACGGTTTTTTAAATAAAAAAAACACCGTTTTGAAAATAAATAAATGCGAACAGCCACTTCTTTCAAATGTTTCTTGCCGTTGCTTTTCACACCTGATGATGACCGTTTGTGTTATGGTCGAAACGTCGTGAGAATTTTTATTGTTTTATATATATTTTATTATTTTATTGTTTCCCTTCAACGTGACTTTACCGAAAGAGCTAAGAATATGAATTACTGCAGTCACGAAAGCTTTAAATCACCCTATATAGTTCTCCTCGAGGGCTCTCTCCAGTCGAGGCAATTGCAGGGCTGTACCTTGCTATTTTACGTGATTGTCTATTAAATGTCTATTAACAATAGAGACTTTGTTTTTCAAATCGACTTGTTTTCTGAACGTAATACCACATTAAATCAACTCACAAATACGTCACCTCTTGGTACATTACAACTCAATTTCAGTTTGTCCCTCCAACGTATTAAGAACTCTTCTTATCCACAACCCTAATACCCACGACTCCCTGGCAGCTGTAGGATCCTTGAAAACTCCTATTTTCCGTGGCCCTATTTCTTCCTATTATCCATGATTAACCATCATTTCGCCCATCAAGCATTCATGCATAGCAAAAATGCTTTCAAATATTCGTGATTGCAGATAAGAAGCGTTGCGCGATTAATTCTCTTATCTGTGGGTTATCCGTGAAGTTTTTACTCTGCTGCTAAGAGGGTAAGATCGCGGATTACCCAGCGGATAATAGAACCAATAACATTGGTCCCCCATATCAGCGTGGTTAAGAGGAGTTGTGTATTTTCATTGTTTAGCAAACTTGTTGTGGATGACTTTTGTTATTCTCATATTTATCTGGACCCTAGATATCCAGCCTTATTTATTAAGTTTTTCAATAATACTCTTTGGTTCTTTCGGTAAAGTCACGTAGGTAAAAAAAAATAATCAATTCACAACGTTTCAGAGGCAACACAAGCTTCCGTCATCAGGTGTAACTAGCTAGTTACCCCTGTTAACTAGCTAGTTATACGTGACTTTACTGAAAGAACCAAAGAGTATGGATCATTGCATCTCACGAAAACTTCAAATCTAGAATTATTCAATAATATTCTGTAGTTCACTTCCATTGATTAGAAAATCCGCCTTCTTTAAAATTATATATATTATTAATATATAATAACAAGTCAAGTTTTCTCTTTGATGTGAATACCTTTGTCGAAAATTTGTCTCCTTGTCTGATGCCCATTCTATTAACTCCCTTTTTAATATGCACATCAGAGTATTATACCTAGGGCAGTTATTGAAGGCAGACTAGGACAACATTATTAAATTTTGATTTAAAGCTTTCGTGACTGCAGTAATTCATATTCTTAGCTCTTTCGGTAAAGTCACGTTGAAGGGAAACAATAAAATAATAAAATATATATAAAACCTCTTGGTACATTCAACGTGACTTTACCGAAAGAGCTAAGAATATAACATTATTAAAATAAAGGGGCAAGCTAGAGAAGGATGGCGTTCTTTTCAAAGAAAAGAAATATACTCATTTGCCTAATTAAGTACTTTTAAATCAGTTAATGTTACATGCAGTGGCACATAGAGCACAACATGGACATTGACGAAGAAAATGGAGTGTGGAAATAAGCATGAAGAATGACACTGATAGGGTGCCTTGAAGGAAGGAATGAAGGAAGTAAAATTGGAAGAAAAAAACGTCGAAGAGGACGTTCCCCACAAATATGGAGCAATACAATCAACTTGTGGGCAGGAGCTACACTGTGAGAAATGACGACAGCTTGGCAAGGCCTTCATCCAGTAGTGCATAGTTCACGTGTGAAAGTAACATCTTAATATTCCCATAGCCTTCACAAAATAATGGTTATCATTTATAATGTGGTGAAAGCCCATTGAGATAGAAAGGTTATTATCAAGGGAAATCTTAGCATTTTTCAGTGATAAATGGATTTAAGAGGGGCAGCTGATATGTGTGAGTTAGTTGGTATATGCGATTTCTCCGAATACATTAACTATGTCATATACTACACAAAGCTTAACTACCCGGTTTCGCCCGGGACTTGGATTCACCACACCCGGCCGCCTTTGTCTCCCCAATGGCGATGTTCACACACCACACCGGTTACGCGTTTGAGGCTGAGTCGACCTAGGGGAGGCCCAGGACCGGTTCAAATAATCGTCACCGGTGGTGGCTGTGAGCGGGAATCGAACTCGGGTCGCCGGGTTCGTAGCGCGGCGCGCTAACCACTACACTACAATGCGTTACGCTTCCACATGCGCGGGTCACATGACAGAAAAAATATATATACATTATTGAGCTCCCCCCGCCCAAAAAAAAACCAAAGTGTATTTTTATAATTTTTGCATGGTGTACAGTCTGGAAAGTATCCACATGGCAAATTTCAAGTTTGTTGCATGTCGGGAAGTACGCTAAACATTTAGAACAGTCACACATTCACAACTTTGCCTTTTATATATATGGAGATAACGGTACCACTTTGCACCTAACAAGTGTTTATACTCTAAATCTCTGGGTACGCTCCACTGACTGCAGCTTGATTCGCGAGGAGCTTAAC